GCCACCTGAGGCTGTGACACTGGTGGCTGCTCGCCACCCGCTGCCACCCCACCAGCCTCCTGGCACCGAGGAGCTTTGGTCAGTGTGGTTCTTCTCCCTGTGGTGTCACCAAGCAGAGCTGGGTGCCAGCTGGCACCCAAGACCTGTCTCATGCCACCTGGGGGTACGGCAGCAGGTTCTGTGCTCTCCGTGTCCCCCCTGGCTACATCCTGTCCCCTCCCCGGCAGCCACAGAGCTCCCCGTGAGGCCAGGACCACCTGCTGGCCCAGCTGTCCCCATGTCCCCACCAGCACCAGTGGCTCTGGCTGTGCCTCACCCAGGCACATACCGATGGAGGCGGGTAGGTGCACATCAGGACCACAACATCACCACGTGTGGGGACACCAAGGGACGTGGCAGTGGGGACTGGGCAGCCCTGGGTGGCTCCGGCGGTGCAGAGAGACCCGAGAAGAGGAAGGGGGTGGTGCACACACAGCCAGGCACCCCAGGCTGCCAGTGACAAACCACCAGGACACACACACACACACCCCACGGCAAAGCCACCAAACACATGCCACCGGACACGCGCCAAGCACACGAGACGTGGGGAACGGGGTGGAACAGAGGGGACAGGCAGCAGCACATCCACACGGCTCGTCTGCCCCGGCCGGGGTGGCACCCAGGGAGGGCTGGAGAGGCTGAAGGAAGCTGGGGGAGGCAAAACCAGGTTAAAAAAACCCAAAGAACAGAGCAAAAAAAATGAAGGCGGAGGAGCCGGCGGCAGGGACCGCTGAGCGAGGAGGTGCCGGTGGAGCCGTGGGTGCCAGGATGGTGGCACGGGAACGGTGGAGATGGCAGACAGCAAGAGAAAGAGTGGGAAAGAGCAAGAGAGAGAGGAGGAGGAAGAGGAGGAGGAGGAGGAGAAGCGTTATCCAGCGCCGGCCTGCTGGGAGGGAAGGGGGAAGAGAGGAGCAGCATGGGCAGACGGAGAGAGGTTAGTCATCGGGACAGGAGACACGCCGAGGTCACCAGGCTGGAGCTGCCAGGGATGGGCTGGAAGGAAGAAGCTGAGAAACAGGGATGGAGGAGAAGTTTGGAGGCAGGAGAGTGGGACGGCTGAGAGCGGAGGGTGCCGGAGCCAAACCAAACCCTTCGTGGGGCCCAACGTGGGGCAGACGGAGGCAGGGAGGTCATGCGGGCACCGGGGTGGGTTTTTCGGATCAGAGAGCTGGGGGGCTTGGGAGGTAAGCAGGGAGCAGGGTCTTGTCACTGCACAGCCACCCAGCCCCCAGGCTGGGCAGTGTCCCCCAGCTGTCCCTTGTCCCGGCACGGCGTGATGCCGGGAAGGGGAAAAGTGCTAAAAAAGGTGGAACGAATCCAAGCGGAGCCGGGTAAAAATAGCCGCTGGGTGAGAACGGTGCCAGCTCATGAACACGCCCAGCAGAGCCCGCCAGCTTCACGCCCCCTCCTTGCTCCCCAGGGGATTAACACCCCCTGCATCCCCCCCC